CACAATCCTTCATGACAAAAGCATATGACAATCGTTACTGTTTGAAGGCCATGCAAATTTTCAGCAACCTTTCAATACATGACTCATCTTTCGAACAATATAAAAATGGCCCGAGGTATAACAAATACTCAACTAGTTTGAAAATTCCATGCGAGCAATCTACTGTCTGCAAACGTGTGACAAAAGCGCAACTGGTAGCATGTCATTTTGACAATCTTGAATACCTAGGTACTTTCCATTGGTAAATTTGTCACGATGCACATTACCACATTGTCATTTGTTTAATTATCGCAGGTTTCATACTATATGGGCAAATTAATCTATTAGCAATTTTTAATAAGCCACTTGGTTACTTACACATGAATCCTTCATGGAATACATTTAGTTCTGTCCCATAAACTACTAAATTAAATAACTAATCCCAAGGCAATTGATGAGCCTAAAATTGGCACATCTATAGCCTAAGTTCTATGACACTTAAGCGAGGATTTTTATTTTCTGATAAAAGTAAGGAAGTGATTTCGTGAAATATGTAAATAGGGTAATTAACATTCTGAAAAAAATACTTCAAAGAAGTTGAGCCAAAGCAAAGCAAAGTGACCATTCCATGCTAATATCCTGAGCCATATATTTCTTTTTAATTGACTATATCACATTGAAGAGTGTTTGTTAACTGCAAGAGGGAGTAAACGAAACAACTATCACGAATATTCTGGAACTTATTGTATTACATTGTAATTAAATCAAATTATGATGGCAGATAATCAAGACTACTTTCTGATCCTTTTCATTGACTATAACATATTGAAAAAAAAATAATACTTCTAAATAAAACTCCTAAAAACAATATTGTTAAATTTAAGAAAAAATACTTAAAATGATAAAATATGAACAAAATAAATAATTGGCTTTCTAGTTGAGACTATAAATGAAACTAGTTGGCTGTAGATAGATCGCTACACTGTAGATGATTGTTCTTTCCAATACGAAACAATTAAATTATTCATAGCTTCTTCATATTTATGTTTATACCTGCAAATAAGTTTCATTTCAAATTAAACCTCATTATTTTTATCACGAATTGCAGGTTTAAACAGAAGTAGTTGGGAACAATTGTCAAAAAAAGAAAAAAAAATTATAAAATGATGGTTTATCATAACCATTATTACTATTATTGT